GGCGGGCGGAACAGGCTGATGCTCCCTATGCGCAGCAGCGGGTGCTGGGTAGGGCTCTCCGCCCGGGCCCCCACTCCGGCCCCAGCCCCACGCCGGGTGCCCCCACAGCCCCCCGAGGCATCTGGCGCATGGAGAGTGTAGTACAGCTCAGCCTGCTGGCTCTCCCCTGCCAACTCGGGCTCCAGCCCCTCCGGAGACTTGCGTCGGGCGGTGGGCGGTGCGGCCGGGGCAGGGGGCCCGAACCAGGCCAGGGGCAGCTCGGCCCGCACAAGACAGGTGGCCAGGGCCCCGCTGAGGCGGCAGGAGCTCTTGACCTCCCGGGCGTCTCGGAAGGCATGCAGGCGGACACAGGGCAGCCGCTCGGTGACGCCGAAGTCGTCCCAGTCCCGGCCGGCTACGTAGAACAGCACCTGGGCCACGGGCTGCGAGGCGGGCACCCGGGCGCGGACGATGAAGGCTCGCACCTTCCAGTTGACCGTGAGGCGCTCGGGGATGTCCAGGGTGCTGGACGGCTGCAGGAGCTCGCGGGCCACCACCTGGCTGGTGCTGAAGGGCCCCAGGGAGACGTTGAGGACGGGCAGCTCCTTGGTCTGGAACACCACGAAGGGCTCCGAGCGCTGCAGGGAGCTGTTGGCCGGCGCGGGCGGCAGGGGCCGCGCCTCCCGCAGGAAGAAGGCCAGCCGCGTGTGCGACAGCCGGTAGCTGATCGGCAGCACCGGGCTGGCCTTGGGCCCCGGCGGGCTGGGGCTGGCTGGGTGGGAGCGGCCGGAGGCTGGGGACAGACAGAAGAAAGACCCCACGGTGGTCAGGAGAGGCTGTGCTCGGACCCCAGGACACCCCAGTCTGCCACTCTCACGCGGGGCCATCCACCCCACAGGGGGGCAGCGCCCAGCCTGGCTCTAGGTCCTGGGGGGGCCAGGGCCAGGTTGCCCAGGCTCTGAGCCTGGCCCCACCTTTGCAGGGATGTTCACTCTCTCACTGAGCTGCCCCACCCCCCAACCTGGTGCGGGCTTCATTTCTTTATCTGCCACGTGGGGGTAAAGTTAATTCTGGCGCAAAGCGTCTCGGAGCTTTAAAGAGGTTCCATCCCCCTGCATCCTCCTCTGTGAAAGGAGGATAACGTTTTCTTGCCTCGAGGTGCCACTATGAGGTCTTACTAAGTCCTGTGCACCAGGGCGGAGTGTGGTGCTGAGGAAGTGTGAGCTCGCACCATTATCACCTCGCCCAGGGCTCAACAGCATTAGCTTATTTCATCCTCAGATCAATCCTCTGAGCAAATCTGATTACAATCTCCATTGACTGAACCAGTTTTCCATCAATAACTTTTCTTTTTCGAAAGCCTATTTTTACATCTCACAGATAAAGGTGCAAGACGCTTAAGTAACTTATCCCCAAGCCTGGGGCCACCTGACCCTCCAACCCAAGCCCCTAACTGGCCCAGCTGCCTCAGATGGTGTGGGTTCCCAGGGACCTCATGCACCTCCACACCCTAGAGATACAGGGAATTCGATCCTCAGTCTCCAAACCCAAATGTCGGCCTCAGGTTTGACCTCTCCCTCCTCTCAGTCCCCTCCCCTCATCCTCACAGGAGCCGCCAGGTTCCAGCAATTCCACCTCTTAACTCGCTGGTATGTCCCAGGCTGCCCCCTGTCTTCCATGCCTAGGCCCCTGCCCCAGTCTGGCTTCACTCCTGTTGCTATGACAATGTGACACAGTCTGAGTCTCCCCTTTCTCCAGCTCACCCCCTCCCTGGCACCCCCTCCCGTACACAGCAGCCAGAGTGATCGGTTCCTCTCGACCACAGATCGGACCGTGTCGGCCCCCCACTCCCAGCTCACCCGCTGGACACTGTCACGGAGCAGGAAGGACCATGATGGGGAGGTTCAAGGTTTGAGAACCAGTTCTGGGTCTTCCCAAGGGCCCCTGAGTCACATTCCTCCCCTGTGAAACCGTAATAGCAATAGCAATGCTGTCTCACAGGGTGTTGTGTTGTCATTTGTTTGGTTTTTTGAGAATCAAATAAGAAGGTGCTCTACAAGTTGTACCACACAATGCAACTGCGTGTAAGTATCATTAAATGGTCTCTCCTGCTTCCCAAATAAAATCCAGACTGTGATGGTGGCATTCAGGGCCCTCTAGAACGGGGTTCCAGGGTCTCCTTTCCCCAGGAATCCTCCTCCCAAGCCCCACTGCCAACATAACTGGACAACTCCTGGCGTTAGCACTGCTGATGCTGCCTTCTCTCCCCTCCTTTGCTCATGCTGTGCCCTCTGGGTCGAATCCTTTCCTTTCCTCTCTGCACACATCCACATCTGAATCTTCCTCCAAAGTCACCTCCTCCACGAAGCCCTCCAAGATGCATGCTCAATTTCTGCAAAAGCCCTAGGACAGTTCTAAGAGGAGCGGCGCCTGGTCTCAGCGTGCCTTCTGAGCAGCGCCCTTAGGACCAGCTGGGGACACTGCTGGGCTCTGGGCAGCCCATGCTTTTACTACCAGATTGCTCCCTCCAATCCAAGAACTCTGTTCCCAGGCCACCCTTCCCTCCTCTGCAGCCTGCAGGATATGCCGCCGCTGATGGTGGGATAGAGGTGAGCAGCTGAGTCCCAGATGAGGACAGGAAGATGTTTGGCAAGGCGGGTCCCTGAATCCTGCCCCACAGTTACCCCTAGAGGCTCTGAGACGGTACCCCAGCCACCTGGGACAAGCCTGGCCCCAAGGCGTGAGGGTGGGAGTCCAGGATGATGGTCTGAGCCAGGGAACAGCAGCCAACCAGATGCTTTGGAAGCAGCAGGAAGCAGACAAGCAGACAGAGGCCTGGGGAGGACGCAAGTTCAAGGCTCCTCCTTGCCACACTCGGCGAGCAAGTTGCTTCCATTTGGAGCCTCGGTTTTCACCTCTAAAACTGAGGTGGTGCCATCAGCCCCCTCACAGGGACGTTGAGAGTAGCCACAGGAAACCAAGGAGGGAGGAGGGACACTGTTTGATGCGGAGGGATGTGCAGGCCAAGACGGGGAGATGTTGCCGTGCTTGTCCTGCTGCAGGTGGAGAAGGGCAGGGGCAGCTGTGGTCAGGGAGCTGCAGTTGCCCATTCTCAGGCCAGGTGGACGGGGGGCGGGGGGGATGCGGAAGTCAGACCGCTGGCCCTGCCTCACTTAGCATCCGCCGGACACCCCAGAGCCTGCTAAGTGGCACTTAGTGCCCTTTGACCCTCTTATCGTCCCAACCTCACGGCTGGCCATCTGGACCCTTGGTGACACCGCGGGGGCAGGGGCCACCAGCTGGGCAGCAGACTCGGAGGGGTGTGGAGGGAGGGATTGGAGAAACGTGTCTGCAAGCACACCTTGCCCTGAGTAGATTTTGGTTGCATCGATGGAATTCTCTGGATGAGCTGCCCAGCACTGACTAGGAGGCTGTGGGCTAGCGAGTGCCTCCTCCCTGAGGCACCCAAGAGGAGCCTGGATGGCCACCGAGGGGAAGGGTTGCTGGCCCGGGGCTCTAGACCCCTGCCTTCCAGGAGACATAAGGAGACTGAGATTCTGGAAGGGGCAGCGACGTGCATTAAGAAAACAGCTAGCTTTCAGGAAGGGGAGCGGACAAGATGGTATTGGGGTGCCACAGTTTTAGTGTTTATGCAGTGGGGTGTGGGGTCCCTTCCTCTTTCCATGACCTGCCCAGGCATCACCTCCTCCCTGAAGCCTTCCCGGATGCCTCTCACTGCCACCACCTGGGTGGTGTGTTGCTGCTGCTGTGCTCTGTCCGGCTCTGGTTCTGACTGACCAGGAGCTCTGTCCTGGTATGAGTGCGAGGTGCAGATGATCTCATTAGTTCTGCGAGTGCTCCCTGGGGGCGGGGTGCTGGCCTATGTGCCCCTTTGCCAGTATAGACAGAAGTCTCTCCAGCCACTTCCAACACCAGAAGGCATGTAGCTGTTCATGCGTTTGCCTTTCCAGCTGGATTGGAGTAGGGGCAGACACTGGGTCTAGACCAGCTTTGCATAGTACGCGGGGTGACACACAGTAGGTAACTTAGCAAATGTCAATTCTACCCTCTTGCGGGGCCAGTGGCTGGACAGAGGCCCTCCCTGTTCATCTCAGGCCGGCCCCAGATCTCTGGGAGCACAGCATGGTCTCCGGCCACCCCCGACAACCTTCGCACCCTCTGCCCAGGCACAGCAGCCAGTGTCCCCCCAACATTGAAGATATAAATTCATCTGCGTGGAGGCGAGGGCCAGGGCCAGGCGGGCGAGAGGTGGGGTGCCTCTGGCCATCTCCCTGGTTCTAATCAAGATCAGATGCCTCCTACTTCTACCTCTAATTGTCCCCAAATTAAAACTAATCGCTTGCAAATCAGAGGGGAAAAAAAAGATTGTCATTAGCTTTGATGAATTTGAGGCTAAGGGCACAGCAGGGCAGCCAG